CTCCCACAGATGCCTGGTGTTCCTCACGGCGCCGGACTGCAGCTTCTCCACCATGAGGGGAACGCCCTGGAACGGGCCGATCCACGTCCCCTGAGGGATCCTCTGGGCGGCGCAGATCCCATAACCCAGACCAGGAACCGTGCTGGTGCAGAGGCACACCTGAGCTCACACAGGAACAACGAAGCAAAGCTCAAAGTAAAGAAGCAGCAGGAATCAAAGCAAAGTTTTTATTCAGCTTCATATTTCAAATAGTTTGAAATAAATGTGATTGTTTTTGTTTTTTCTACAGCTAGCATCTAATAAAAAACTTACAAATGACTGGAGAACAGAAGAAACAGAAAGAAACACATTCAGCAGATATTTTACTTTAAAGTAAAAGAAAAAATGGAAAAATGATCAAAGCTTTAACTTCTTGTTTTTACAGCTTTAATCTTTTTGTTTTTTATGGTCAGTTTAGTTTTTATTTGTCATTTAAGCCTCAGGTTTTTCTAGAAGTATACATGTCTATGGAGAGAAAATTGTACCAGTGGTGTTTGATCAAAATATAAAGAGATTTATGAAAAAATATAGAGAACCTTAAAAAACAGAAAGAAAAGATTTATAAAGTAATCTTTATGTGTAAACAAAAATTTAGCCAGTATTTTTAAATTTATTTTTTATGTATTCTATTAGTAAATTTTTTTTCTATTTTCTTTTAAATTTCTTCTTTTTTTTTTAAACGGTTTTAAAAAACGTAGTTTTTCAAATGGCCTTCAAATCCTATTTTACAGATCTCTCTGTGTCTGAACGTCCGCCCTAATCCCTAATCCCTATTCCCTCCATCACTATAGAGCAGGGACTATATAGTGGACTTGATAGTGAACTCAGACAGATGATCACTACTTTTCATTCCCCGTTGATCATGTGACTTCACCTCCCCGGACGCTGCCTGCTTCATCTTTGTTATTATTCGCCACTAAAGCAAATCCCATGATGCTTTGTGAGGAGAGCTCTTGCAAAGCATTCTGGGATATATCTGCTCCTCTAGTGACCATGGATGATCACTACTTTTCAAGGTGCATTGTGGGAAATTTCGAGCGCACTACTTTTTCATCCACTAGACGTTCGGACGCTCATTTAAAATAGCATAACCACTTTACAGCGATTAGGGCGGACGTTCGGACACAGCCACTTTCCTCCCTTCTGTGGGCGGGGCTTCTTCAGAAGTGTAGAATGAAGACTTATTTCCATGGATCTGTTTGCAGACCAATAAAAATGACTCAGTTTAAAATGTTGATGAACAATTGTTTCTTCATGAAAATCCACAAAAAAACTTTTGCAAACATATGAAAAATTACTATTTTTATTTTACAAAGAAACATTTTCTTTAAATTTCTATTTCTAAAATGTACTTTTTGCTTTCAAAAAATTGGAACAGCTTTCTTTCCATACTATCTTAAAGCAAAACTGTGTCACTTTGAGCCACTTTAGTGCCCCCTGTTGACCACTAGCAGCACTGCACTGTAGCTAAAATACCAGTATCGGGTGATCCAGCACTAGAATGGTATCGGTATCAGTGAGTACCAACAAATAGGGCACAAGTTTATAATTGGGCCAAAGGTTAAACAGGGTTTCTCTAACATGATAGGTGGATGTGGAGGGGGGGGGGGGGGGGGGGGGGGGGGGGGGGGGGGGGGGGCCTCTCTGGGCAGATCCCTCAGCCAATCAGGGACGTCCGGTAGAGGAACAGGCGCCGCCGTGCTGCTGGTTCCAACCAAACGGCGCAGAGAGTGAAGCGGGCCGTGCATGGGACACTCTCCGTTCCTGTTATCCGCACACATGTCACAACCTGCAGAGAAACACAACTTTCAGGACGTTCAACAGCGCGTCCGTGACCCCTAGGGGGTCCACAAGGTACTGCATGGGGGTCCCGAAAGTTTTGGTTGATTAGACTTTTTTTAATGCAATTTTTTCCACTAATTGAAATGTCTTTAAATCCACATTAACATGAATTCAACAGACTGTAGTAAACAGATAAATGGAGGCAGAAGATGTCTTTCAGTCATCAATGCCAGTGACGGTTCTAGACCAAATGTACCAGGGGGCCAGGAGGGGGCCCAGAAAAGCATGAAATAAAAAAACAGGGCAAGGGATTCTAATTTATTAAGAGAGCTGCATGAAGTGAAATTTCTATCCATTTAGGTTTAATTCAAATTCTATTTCTTATTAGGTCAATATACATTCATAATTTAGACATTTTTACATATCTTTGACTTAATTTAAGTTAAAATTACCGTTTTCTCTAAATCTGAAGAAAAACTGTTAAATTCAGACGTAAAAATTAGAGCAATTTGTTTTGAAAAAAACATTTAGCAGATGAAAACTGGGATCCTATCTCAGCACCACTGAAGCTATCAGCCCTTTTTTTTTATAATTAGTAACAGAATCTGTAAAGAAAAAAAATTAAATAGATCCAAAGGACCAATCAGTAACCATGTCTGTTCCAGTGCAGATCAGCATTAGAGCTTCTTTGAGTATTATGGCTTCACTACAGGGGCCAGGACATGATCTGCAGGGGCACTGGCCCCCGTTGGCCCCTGTCTAGAACCGCCCATGAGCAATTCAGCAACTCACAGGCGCTCTTTCAAGTTTAATTTAATTTACAACACCTGTCCCATCAACCAGGTATCAGAAATACTTTAATAATCCCAGGGAGGGATTACTTTAGTTACATTACTCCATCTGCAATAGAGCGACTATAGGACCAGTTTGATAGAATATATATAATTAGGGGCCCCGCTCCATCAGTTTGGGGGTCCTTGGCCTGGAAAACAGAAAAATTACGGAAAAATCGGAGGTTTTCTCACTTTCACCTTAAAGAAACAGGATTTTCTTCTGTTTATCCCCCCCCCCGCTTAATTTTAACGTTACAGTTGAGCGGCAGATCTGTCAGATCGGCTTTAGGACCTTTTTTTTTTAACGCTGCACACAAATCATTTTGTTCCCTACTTTGTGAAAAACTGAAGCCGATGAAAAAAAGGATCCTGTTTCCACAATAAAGTCCAAATGAGGGGGAAAAAGTCCTGGTGGTGTTTTTCTACGCTAATGTAGCGGGCAGCACATTGCCTGGAGTTAGAGAGTGTCAACATTTGCTCCCAGATGCAGTCTGACAGTAATGGATGCTAATTGACTGTAGCAATATAATGAGAGATGATTATCTGGACAGAAAACTCCCACACAGGCCGAGAGAAACAGGATGTGAATGTTTGTTTTTTTCTAACTTTCCCAAAATTAAAACCTTTTCCTTTTGTTAGACTGGCAGCTGCTTTTACGCCATGATGGATAGAAGTTAATTAAATCCCATTAAAGTCATTTATTAAGCAGAAAGTGCAGCACTGGGTTATGCCTGAGTAAATGGGAAACATTTACTTCTTCTAATCAAAGAGGGGGAGAAAAAAAAGTTTATTTTATTTACGGAGAGAAATCTGGGATTCACCGAAAATTCATCAACTTGGAGACTAAACCTTAAAAATTCCCACACAACTGAAAACCTTCACATTAACTGGCTTTTTATAATTTGTGCATTTGATTAATTCGTTACAAAAAGCTAATGAGAATGTGTTTAAAAGACTTATATTACAGTTATAGCTTCTCTTCTTTGGCTTCATCCAGAATAGAATCTAAAATCCTCCTTCTCACATATAAAGCCTTAAATGGCCAAGCTCCATCTGATATCAGAGATCTGATTGTTCCTTATGTTCCTAACTTAGTCCGTGAGGCAGACACCCTGTCTACTTTTAAGGCTAGGCTTAAAACTTTCCTTTTTGATAAAGCTTCTAGTTAGAGTGGCTCAGGTTATCCTGAGCTATCTCTATAGTTATGCTGCTATAGGCTTAGACTGCTGGAGGACATAGGGACCCCTTTTTCATCATTCTGCTTCATTCTATCTCTATTCTCCCACTCTGCAGAATCTGTTAGTTCAATCTCTAACGTTCTGCTCTCTCTGCTTTTTCTCATAGTAGCTTAATCTGGTCTGTTCCTGTTTGGCTGTGACTCCATCCTGGAGAGAAATATCAGCTGTGCTGCTGCCATTAACACCTTTGTTTGTAGATGTTGGAGCTTGGCCTGTTTTCCAGTGTAGTCCTGTTTCTCTGACTGTGACTAACTGGATGTGCTCTCTTCATCCTCTGACATGGGAGCTGGCTCGGAGCTCGTCTGCCTGGCTGTGTGTTTCCTGAAAGGGGCCGCCTGTGGAGCTGGTTGACAGTTGCCTTTTGTATCTATGCTTCTTTTTCTATGTCTGCTTCTGTCTCCTTGAACCCCAGTGGGCCTCAGCAGATGGCCGCTCACACTGAGCCTGGTTCTGCTGGAGGTTTCTTCCTGTTAAAAGGGAGTTTTTCCTCTCCACTGTCGCTACAAGCATGCTTAGTGTGAGGGATTGCTGAAGAGTCAATGAGTCGATGCAATCAGCTGGTTTTCCTTAGATAGAAAACTTTGAATCAATCTGACTGGATGATCTGGTGACCTGGAAAGTGACCTAAAATGAGATGTGATATAAATTGGAGCTATAGAAATAAACTGAATAGAATTGAATAAAAGTAGAACTAGGAAGGAATGTGGATAAAATCCCCGAATTGGTCTAATTATCAAACCAGCTGCTTTAAAAGCTGAAACGTGTTAAAGTCATTGTTTTTTTTTATACTAAGAGAGCATAAAAAACCCCATGACCTCAGAATGACTTCACATTAAAAGATATTTAATTACAAAGAGCAGATTTATGAAGAAGGCCTCAGGACGTCCAGAGATGGTGATCTCCAAACGGACCTAAAAATAAGTTAAACTTTTTAAGAAATTAGCGTTTTTCTCCTTCATTTGATTATCTGCCAGTGGAGGAATTGTCTTCTCTTCTAAAATAAGATAATTATACCCTGCGTTTAAATTAGAGTAATGGAAATATTTCCTTTTCTTATTCTAAGACAATAAATCTTTCTTCATCAGCAGACTGTTTTACTTATCTACAAAAATACCCTTATTTTAAGGCAATTTTAGTTCCTTTTAGAGCATTTCTTTTTGCAGTTGTTTTGCCGCCGGTGCAGAGCTTGGTTTGCGATGGCAGCAACTGGAGAAAGGAGAGACGAGGTGTTTCCTGTTGGACCGAAGCTCAGAGACCCGGTTCTTGGTTGTTGCTGCTAAATAAGTTTTTTGTTTTAAGTTTTTATGTTTTCCTTTATTTTAAACAGCTGCTGTGGGATTTATTTCTTTTAGGGGATAATAAGGATCCTCGAACCAGAACCTGAGCAGCTGCTTATTCTAGGTCAAAGGCTGCAATTTTTTTTATCACTAAAAGTTTAGATTGAGTCAAAAACAGAACTGTCCATTAGTTTTAGTGAATCTGTGAGAAATGCTGGGTTTTGCTGCAAAGCTATAAAGCATTTCAGTTATGATCTTTCTCCATGTGTTTAACAGTGCAGCTCGGCTTCGTCTCCTTTCTGGTTCCTGAATCCTCAGACTCTCTCTGCAGAGGCGACGCCTGCAGCCGAACCGGACCTCCTCTCTCTGTTTATCGGTTTGGAATAAAAGTGTTTGGAATTTATTAGAAAACGTTTCAAATGCTTCTCTAAAACTGCTAAATCAAAGCCCAAAGTGTGCCTTTGCCCCGCCCACTCAGAGGAAGCTCCGCCCCCAGATGAGTGCAGACGGCAATACGAAAAACGGGATTTTAAAAGGGTGCTAATAGTAAAACTCACTCTTAAAAATAAAAAAATTATCTTAAATTATTTTCTAAATATTAAAGAATAAAAAAACGAAATAGACAATTATGTTTTTTTCCCTCTAACCTTTTTAAATGTGAACTTTTGAAAGTTGATTATTTAAAAACTAATTTTCCTCAAAGATCCATCCTTGGAATGTCTCTCTATCTCTTCCAGACTGACGTTCTGGACGTCCTTTAACTCAGAACTCTGCTCCACCTCAGATCAGTCGCAGAGAAAGAGTCTAATTCACTCGATTTATTTGGACAGGATCTTAATGACTCTCCTCTAATTAAAACGTATTAAAGTGATTTAGCTTTTAGTTCCAATGGACTCTCTGTTATTTCTACTGTCGGACGGTTATGCTCAGAAAATATCAACTGGAATTTTTGGGTCATTTTCTGACATGAAAGAAATATAGATTATCAGATTATCCTGGTTGGCATTTTTTTTAGTAAAGGCAGCAGAAGTCCAGAGTCTTAGTCGTTCTTTTTTTACCTAGAAGCCATTAAAGTCGTAGGGAAGCAGCTGTTCCAATCGTTGCATTTCCGAATTCTCCCGAGTGGTGCCCGACTTTACACGAGTGAATAAAGTGAATGTGATTGGTCGATTATCAAGGGGGCGGGATTGTTGTGGTGGAAGGTTCGCAAGCAAGTTTAAATGTGGCTGATTTGTGGAAAGCATCTTGCTAACCAGTTAGCAACTTAGTGCTAGCAGGTTCCCAATGGGAAATTCCATTGGGACCAAGTAGCACTAAATTGGTGACTTAGAAACGACGCTGTCAAGGAACGCTATGGACAGCGGAAACATGCAAGAGGAGGAGAGTTTAGTGTCGGAGGTCGTGGATGAGTCTCCTCCGTCATCCATTTTTTATTTAGAGGAGGAAAGCGGGGACGAAGATGTTGTGGAAGAGGACGCCAGGGCGGCAGAAGCTTGGTTTGGTGTAGAAGGCTTCCAGCCGTCCATGTTTGAGCCCTTGCCTCGCAACGCTGCCAGTTCTGTTAGCTCTACGCCTGCCGAAGACACAGACGTCCATCCCCGTGAACACTGGGACGCAACTCAATGGGAAAGGAAAGGATTCTGATTTCAACCGTTGCGT